TGGCATCAATGATCATAGCTGTTGAAGTGCCCTTGAAACCGTCGATCAATCCATCTATCAATCAATATAGAAAAAAGAAAGTAAAAATGAGCCATTAAAGTTGCACGCTAAAGGGTACGTCATACGGTTGACATCTTTAAAGAAATCAGCGCAAAAATGAACCCAAAGGGGTGGGGCTTGAACTTTTAAGATGGTGAGAGAAAAAAGAAAGGCAAATACCTATCGTCCTTCAAGAAGACAAGGCAAAAACCGAGAATTCCGCACATCTTCAAAGAAACCTGGAAGGTAAAGCGGACGTAGCGGTCTAATCAGAAGTCGACATCGTCATTAGAGACGTTAATGGAGTCTCCACCGAAGGATGACGTGAGGGAAGCCATCCGAAAAGAAGCAGGAATACCGAGATCTGGAGATGGCCTGCTACTAAGCACGGGTACGCCGGCCTACCAATCGGCCAATAGTCAAATTGCCCTGCAGAACTTGGCCGCAGAATCTTTCCAGAAAAAGAAAATAGGCAAGTAGGATATGGTGTACTGTATATCACTGGTGCGGAAGGAGGTGATCAGATGCCTACAGATGTCACGGCATATGGCATGTCGCCAAGCGGTGGCAGCGGCCCCGACAGGAGAAAGCTCGGGGCTGGAACTGTGGAGGTGACCATCAAAAGAAAAGACTGTACTACGGGAGCTGGCTGCCTATCTGCCAAGGACAGCAATGTCAACAAACCAACATCGACGCGGGCAAGTAATCTTGCAGCGTCGTTGTCATAATGCGCTTAACTAAGCAAAAGAAACATCGGGAAGCTAAAATCCTTCGCAATAAACTAGTGGAAAGGCAGGCGGCACAAGACTACTCCTGCAAACGGTAGAAGAAAAAGAATCGATATAGCCATAATCGGAACAATAAGGGAAGCCAGTCTCAGGAACATGGTCCAGGATCTATCAGGACAAATCAGCTCTCTACGCATCGCCAAACCCAGATCTGAAAATTCGAACACGGGTGGAAGAAAGAACAAGGGCTTTGTTGGATCGAAGTAGGGTCTCTTCGAATTAATAGCTGCTACTTCTCACCGAATGACGCCTTTCAACATTCGAACAGGAAGTGCCAACTAGAAGATGGACATTCATACGCTCTGGAGAAGTCCTAATAGCCGGGGACTTCAACGCGGCAAATCTCGGAATGGGAGTCACTGAGTAAGCGGACAGAAGGGGGTCTCTTGTCACTGACATGGTAGCTAGGAAAGAAACCTCGTGGTGCTGAATAACGGAGGAGTCAGCAACCTACGAGAGATACAACTCGAGATCAGTCATAGACCTGACTCTGTCCTCAAGGAAAACTGCGGGGACAAATACACGACTGGACGTTCTGGAAGACGGTCACTTCAGTGACCATATTATATAGAGTTTCGCCATACAAATTTAAAACTCAGAGAATTAAAGTACGGAAAGAAACAAACCCTCATGGATACGTGAATAAAAACTAGACCAGAAAGCTCTAGAAGAGTTCCTGCAGGAACAAGCGCGCCTGGACGAATTAAACTGGAGCAGAAGGCCCAGGAACAAAGTACTGGGTCTACGATTTATACAAGTCGCAAGGAGGCGTGGCAACGGCGATCTATGCCAAAGAAGGTCAAATACCAACCGCCACTCGGAAACCATGTACTGGTGGACGGACGAAATCTCGAATTGTGAGAGAAAAATGTAAAAAACAGAGCTAGTACACGCGCTCATAGGATGCGCAGACATTAAGAGAGGCGCTTCGACAATGGCAGACGGAACAAACACACGCATCAACAATAGCAAAAACCTTCTGCTGGACGGCGCTATTAAAGGAAATTAGACAACGACCGTGGGGCAAACCGTACCAAAAAATCGTCATAAAAAAACTAAATTGCAGGCGGAAATCACCCGGATTGGATATCCTACCTGGGTAATCCCAAATATAAAGAACTTGTTTCATCGCATCAGAAACCATCGATTGAAACAATGCCAGCCGTAAAATTACAAGAAGACCAACATGTTTTCCCAGAAGAGCTACAGAAAGTATGCAGCAGTCTAAGA